GTACAGCACTTGCTTAGACTTCACGTGGAAAACATCTGACTTATCCAACAGATACAGATCTTTTTCATTGAGTGGGAAAAATAAAATTATATCAGCTCTCTTTAGGACAAGGTTATTTGAAAGGCATTTCTCTGTGTGACAATACAGTACCTGAGCAATGCCTCAAAACAAATGGCTATATTGTAAGTTCTGTAGAATGAGAATGCTTGGGTTTTCAGTAAGGGCTGAATAATGAAAAGACAAAAGAAAAAGCTACTGCAGCCCAGATAGGTAACAACACATAGTTTTCAATTTTTTATTAGTCTTGTGTTTGGAGCAAGGATTGGTTTTTTTTAAACCGAGAAACTGCAATGATTGCTTTTACAACAAGGAAGGGATTGTCAAACTTTTGATCTAATGCAAGTGAGCACTTGTTTCCATGTGAGAACTACACACAATGGCCTTTAAGGATTCATTTCCCAATAGATGTTACTCTTCACATAATTGCCAATATGGCCAGTAAAACCCTCAGCAATGCTATAAGCCTACACTTCTTGCCTTGTTTTATTCATCATTAAGCCACTGTGGTAGCTTCCCTGTTCAGACACGTGTAATTTGCATATAAATGCCAGGCAGTGGATAAACTCAAGGAGAAAAGACACAACAACTGTCAGACATCTCCAAAATTGAAGAAAAGCAAAGACACAAAGCATTAAGTGTATCGGTAGAGATTTATCCTCTTCCCTGTGGTGGAGTGTTAGAAAATAATGAGTTTGTGTAGCACCTCTCGATGTAAGTTTTGTCAAGGTCTTCTGAATGCTGTATAGCAGAAGCAAATGAAAAAAAAAAAAAAATGTCTTCTTCAATGGATGAAACACTGCCTCATTTAGCACATTCAAGTTTTCTTTTCCATTCATAGCATGGCTGTCACCTGAAATCAGACTGATTTCCTTCTGACTTCTGAGTCAAGATTTTTTTAGAGAAATATGTCAGCTTCATTCTGAGTGGTTTAACTACATGAGTTATAAGACACCTGCTATTTAATCTCACTCTGTTCAGAATGCAGGTAAATAATGCTTTAAAAGTCTCTGAGGGCAAATGAGTTGAAAAAAAAACAATAATTTTTTGTTCCCAAAAATTTCCCTGAATTATACTAGAAGGCCAATGCAACACAAATGTTCAAACAAGTCCTTTGCCCATTTTATCCTTGAGAATTATTACAGAAACAGATTAAGTAATTGGAGTTGTCTTCCAATTAACATCTTAACCTTGATACTACTTTCCTGTATATATAACATCAGTTTGGGGAAGAAAAATGATCTCAGAATCAGCGACAAACAGATTGCTGCCTTAATGAGAGCCTGTCTCCACAGACAGTTGAGAAGGAAGGAAATTCAGCTATAACACTTCATTAGCCCAGGGAAAACTACACTTATTCATCCATTTACTGATATGCCACTAGAACTATTTCCTATCAGAAAATAGTAATTGTGAAAAAAATTAAATCATTTCTCCACTATGTATAGATTTTTGACAGGAAGATCTCTCTTTGGTCTCAGCTTTAGCCATTCAGATGTTTTGTACCTTATTTTAAAAATCAAAACTACAGGAAGTATTTATCTTTGTGGAAGATTACATTTTCCACTTTGGACCAGGATTTCCCAAGGAGTGACAGCTGCTGCTTTTCAATGAGCCTTGCCCTTTGGTGTGTTGCCTCCTGCTCAGCAGCAAGTTCCAGGCCTATGTCCCTTTCCTGACCTACACATTCTCTCTATATGCACACAGGTGCTGAGCTGAGTCGCCACAACCCGACACGTTCAGCTGACACACACGCACCACTCCCTGAATCAGTTTGCTAATTTCAATGAACAGCAGCTTCCTACAGAGATCAGCTATTAAAAACAATATATAGATAAGCTGAGCCAGCACTTTGACAATTTTTATACCTCAAAATTGAATATGTTAGCATAAGAATTCAAGTGTTATTGTCTCATACTAACATTATAGCATTTCAGGCTAAAAACAGGAGTCAAGAATGTAAGGTAAAAGAAGACAATGCCTCTATCAATATAGATGTCATATTATTACGTATTATCATTACCATGAATTATTGCAAGGGAAATGCTGTTGTTTTTTAAAATTTGATCTATCTGTAATTTTTAGCACACTGGCTAAAAGAGATCCAGTGATAAGGTCTATAATGCTGTCCTTAGTTACAGATGATTCTGTTTGAGCAAGGACTGCCTTACTTGTAAAATTCACCTCACATCAACACCATAATGAAAAAGATTATCTCTTTAGTCCTAGACTGCTTTGATAAAATGAGGTTTCTGTGAAGGAAGACTGAAAATGATTGTTCAATGACTCGTTGAGAAGTGATTCATCAGAACTCAAAAGCCATTTGCAAGTTTTTTAACTGCTTTTCTTATTGTGCAAATAACTCTACGTGAGGGATTGCACACAATTGTTTAAAAAGAAGATGATACAGTGCATTTTCAGCTTGAGTTCATATATTGATTGCTGTCTCAGGCTGCAGAAAAACTCTGTGTGTGTGTAAAAATAGCTTCGTACGCACAGTTGCAGAGGTCTCATACTATTCTTCATGAATCAGATGTAATAGCTGTACAACCCAATAACTATAAATGTTCTAGAAATATATTGAATATTAAAATCAGTACATAAATATTCTCAATATTTTACATAAATATTAAGTCACATTTTATGAGGTCCAGACTATCCCTTATTAAAAACTTTTAAATTTAGAGATTACTAAACGTTCTCTGAAAGTATTAACTCACTGGGAAATAATTAAGGGACAATTTTTAGGGTAGATCTCCTTGAATATAGTGATAGAGCAATTTTAGTGCTAAGAGCAAAATGCTGAGAATTGAAGTCTCTTCATTTCATTTGCTTAACGCAAGATGAGCAATTTAATTTTTGTTTGCACCACATATAATTTTTAGGTGGATATGCTTCCTATGGCCAACCACGGTTTGCTAAGCTGGCTTAATGCCACACTTTCAAAACAAAATAGCATTCTTTTTCTGGCAGATACATTTGTAACTGTCAGCCTGAAAGACCTTCCTAATCCATATCATTCAAGTTACCTGCTTTCAAACGTGAGGTGTAGTGTGTGAGGAAACTGAAAACCAGAGTCTCACAGCAGTTACTCAGGAAAATTAAAATTCTTGCAGAATCATTCATTCATTGTATATAACTCTCTCAATAATAATGGACTTGTGCTGCTCTACTTCTGATGTAAATTATATTCAACAATAAAATTGAGGAAGTGCCAAGTTCATGTAAGGACTAAAACAAACACAGTTCTTACAGTGGGTGTCTCCTGGGAGAAATGTCTCTATCTAGCAAGACTTTCCACAGTCCTTAACATCTACATATGCTTCATCAGTAGTGACCATTTGCCATCCTGAGGCAAGGAGGTATTTGTAATCCAAATTGTAAAGGGCCTTTACAGAACATGAGATAGACCAGGTGGGTGCATAATTAAGATTTACTAGTCATTTAATGGAGAACCACCAGCAAAGTGATTCCTCAGCAGGGCAAGTTACGATGTGACTGATGATGTTTATTTGTGAGTGATGATGTTTATTTTCATTTCAGCCTATTAGCTGCAGGTGGAGGAAACCGAAGGACTGCCAACGTGGTGGCTCATGGGTTTGCCAACCTTTTCATTCTAGACAAGAAAACACTCAATGAAATCTTGGTGCACTATCCTGACTCAGAAAAACTTCTTATGAAGAAAGCAAAGTATGTCCTAATAACGACTTTAAAATATCGTTATTTAGCTGCAGAATGGACAGTTGTGGCTTCCATACAGATCTGCATTCCTTTCCTGGGAAAGTAAGAGAAGTTAAAGCATTTGCATTGAGAGGTCAGATATGCCCGGCCTTGGAAGTCACAGTCTTGGCAGGAATTCCATGGGTTCTGGAAATGTGACAAGTAGAATGAAGTCCTGAATGTAGTTGATTTCTCCACTGTATTTAAGGTAACAAAACAAATAGGAGATACAGATGTATATCAGGGCTCCTTACATAGGCAAAAAGAAATTGCAGTACAGATATCAGTCAGGGAGTAAGTTTTCAAAGATGCAACGCAACACTTGCAATTAATTCTACATAGATACACTTCATGCACTCAGACTTTCCAAAATCTTAAGCAGTAGTTAGGAATAGATTTATAAGTAAGGCCTGACAAGATGGAAGTAGAAAGATTAGAGAGGTATACACTTCAAAGATATTAAAAATGGGATTTCAACCCCAAACTGCTTTTCATCTTGCTTTGGCTGGAGCTTGCTAGGTTCACCATTTCCCCAGCTTTGAAAAGATAAAACATTTTCGGATTTTGTCATAAAATTATGACAAAATGAGTACCTTGTAAAAGGTCCAAATACTTGGAAACAGTTTATCATTATTAGCATACTTCGGCACTCTTATTGTTCTCAGCTGTTGCCTTACATCACTATCAAAGGTTGGAAGGCTGTGCCCAGACTTGAAATTCCACCAGAGAAGACTAAACAGCACAGGAGTGACATTTCTTTCAGTGGAAATGCTAGCAGGTGGTAGCATTCAGCATGTTCCAACAGCCCTGTCTGTCAAATGACAGTATCTTGAGAATCACCACATTGTTGAGGAACTAGGAAACTAGACACAGAAGAAGGTGATTACCCAATTTTCAAAACCAGCATCAACACATAGGAAGGTAGAACAGATCCACCGACTTATGGTCCCCACCATTTATTCTCCCTCACTTTTCTCCAGCTGCTTTCTAAACAATTGTATGACAACGATTACTTGTTATTCCTTTCTCTCTATCCTACACTACTGCCTTCTTCTTTCTTGTCCGCCTTAATCCTATCCTGCCAAGCCATTCAATTCTGCTTCCACTGGGTAGCCTTTCTCAGCTGCAGGATCTTAATCATCCATCCTTCATACATGCACTGCCATTTGAGCTCAAAACTTTCTCCAGATATCAGACTATATACAGGATATCTTATTTAGTTTTAAAGATATGCAGTACCTGCCCTGTGCTGGGGGCCTTGTATTCTACTCACCTCTCTAAGCATCCACTAATTCTTCCAAAGTTTCCATGCTCTATGTATGGTCAGCCGTGTATCTACAAAAACTAGGCACCCGCAGGAGATTTGTGCACTGTTTTGAAAAAGATTGTAGTTATGTTCAGTTTTGGAAGCTAGTTACCAGTTGTTCTGCCCTAGAAGCTTTACATGAGAGTTCTGTGGGATTGCATCATCCATCCCACACCTTTAACTAAAAGGATTTATTCAAGCAAGAAATTTGTTCTATTATCACCTGTCTGATAGCCACTGTATGGTGTTTACATAATAAACCCACTCAAGCTGCTGAAGTGTACTTATTAAATTTATGACAATAAAGCTTAAAAAAAAAGGTGGCTTTCACTTCTGAAATTCCAGAAGTTACAAAGTACAAGACACTGGAGAAAACTGTAGTAGTATGAGATCTACTGTACATCAGACTGCAAGAATGGTCCTTGTTCTTAAAAAGCCTTAAGTCAGGGCTTTTGTAGGGATAGAAAAGTTGCCTTGAAAACTGCACAGTAACCTACTAGAAACTGAAGGTAGGAGAACCCTCTCTTTCCATCTTAAAACTGCCATTAATCTTTACCCTTGTTGTTCATTCTCACTTCTTGTCCTTATGGCTGCAAATCATTACAGCTACGGAAGGGTGTGAAAATGTTGTCTGCAGTAAGTTTTATATCTGTAGGGTATTTTCTTCTACTTCTACTATGGAAGACCAAAAATAAGTACCCTTGTCTAACCTAACCTATGGGAGATAAGCCATGCTGGAAGTTAGTTTGGTAAACTATTATTTCCACAGCCATCAGGTGGACTCCCAACTGAGTGCTAAACACTCTCTCAGTTTGCACCTAGAAGGCCAGATAAGAGATTGCCACCTCAGGTACAAAGCAGCTGTTCCCCGCCACATTACTTCTCACCTCAGAAAATTCTCATCTGCTTTGCAACACCTTAGTTTAAGCCTACACTTGTTTATTCTCCAGGATATAAGTAATCAACTCCAAATTTGAACAGTAGTCCCCAGCTCTACCAGAGCCGAGGGTAGAATCCTTACCCTTTCCAGCTTTCTCTTGCCACTGGACCTGGGACCAAAAAATCAAACAAACAAAAAATTGGCTGGAAAAGTTGCCAGAAGTTCATCCACGAATGTGACGTTTTAGCTTTGCAGGAACTTTGCTCAGTATCACAGCACTGCTGTATGTTCACATTCCTTGCTATCTCCAGGGTGCTCCTGAAGGAGAAGGGGAAGCCTGCTCCAGGACCACCACCGCAACAGCCACGAGGCTTGGCCGGTCTCTTTGGGCAGAAAAAAGAAACTCCAAAACTGTTTAAAGCGATGCTTGGAGCAAGAGGAAAGGATGGCCTTAGTAAGCTGATGCAGATGAATACAGCACAAGGTGTTGAGGTAATGCCACAGAAAATAAAGTAGATCTTCCAGGGGCTGAAAGATAGGGGAGGGCCTGGGCAAAGTGAGTAGATGAAAACGTAGCCTTGTTGCAGTCAACAGCGAAAACTCTCAGTAGCTGAGATATAATTACTGTATCTAATCTCTGTAAACACTAACTCTAATATTTCAAACCTTCCTGGACCTGGACTCTGTGCAGAGCAAAGAAAAAGCAGGGAAAAAAGAAAGCAAACAAAAATCCTCAAAGTAAGGATAAAATAGACTTCACAAAGACCCTTAGGGCATCTGATCTAATTTTATGTGAACAACAGCAAATACAGAAATATCCTAACACAGTAATTCGATCCCGCCGGCTCAGGCACACAGTGAACTTTCCGATTCAAAATCGGATCTCTGGTTGTCACAAATCCTGAAGACAAAATTTTAAGTGTAGCCCACATAGCTAAAACTGATGAAATCTCTAATATATTTTGCTTATGAAAAAAAATGTTATTTTAGTTGGTGAAAAGTAATTCCCACATGATACTCTGTTCCGAGCAATGTCCATGTTAATAAGAACCTGCTCAGTTCTGCATACTTACCCAGAGGTGGCAGAATCCTTTTCTGCCTTTATAGCTAAACTGGCTGTGTTTTTATTTAATTTTTAAGTTAAATAAAGAACTTTGCTTACAAAAATGACTACAGTGCTGTGATTGGAGGAAAAATATTGCTCCATTCAATGCGTGTTTGTGAACTTGATAGCAAATAGTCTTGGCCAATGAACTGGGGCACTGGGCAACATGTCACAATTTATGAAACACTTGTTTTTTCTTTTTATGCTAGTGTAAGTACCTGAAGGAAGACAAGACCTAAGGAAGGGCTGTGTGCTCCAAAGCGTGCCTGTTGCATCCTGCTGTATTAATAAGAAGCAGATACCATCACTATCCACAAGCTTTTCCTAGGTTTAATGTTGAGGTTCTGATTCTAATTGCATTTTTCATTTACAGCCTGATTTTCAGCATCTAAATACAAATTTACAATCTGTTGCATAGCATTAATCACACGCTGTGCCTTTCCACTGCGTGCACAGAACTACTTCTTGATTCTGTTTTGCAGCAGTGGAAAATAAATTAACTTCTTGTTTCTAGGAACCCAAAGCTGAAGCAGAGAGCAAGCCCAAAGAAGAGGAGAAGAAACGCGCAGAACCCGAGGCCTCATCTGCACCCCCTGCACAGAAGGCAAAGCCGAATGCGGACGCCAAGCCTAAACCTGCAGCCATGCACAGAGGCACCAGCAAGGAGTCCCTGGTCATTAGTATGTCTCCATCCCCCAGAGCAGGAGAAGGAGAGATCCTTACAGTTGAAGCTGTAGAGAAAAAAAAATAAATAGATGGTGCTTTGGGCCCCATCTATTGTCTTGCTGAATTCAGAGGGCTAGAGCAACTTTGCTTTTGGGTACAGAAAACAAAAATAGAGACTACTCAAGAGAAAAAACTATCCCAGCTCCTATTCCTCTCTCCCTCCTCTCCTGACAGAACTGGATAGATTATTTATATACTTACCTCCTAAACTGGAGAACTTCTGGTGCAACAGGAATCAGATTGTATTTCAGGACCATTTGTTTCTTGTTCAATCCATGCTCTCCCTTGCCTTTTACTCTGTCTTGTTCCTGCTCTTCCTCTTCCCTCTCCTCTTTGTCCTCACTTTCCTATTGCTGTTCCTGTTGCTCAGTTTGCTCTTCATTTTTGTATGTGTTCTTTTCTATTTTCTTTTCTGGTTTCCCATAGTCATCCTTTTTCTTGTTACTGCACTACTGTTGCTGAGGTTCCTCACGTTTCTCTCCGTCCTTCTCTCTCCTCCCATTATACTTCTAATCAGTGACCTGCTTTTGTGACCAGCACGGCTTAGTGCAGAGACCTGCAATGCTGAGTGTTGGGGTGCTTTAGCTTGGGCCAGAAACAAAACAAAACCACTGTCAAGAAACAATCACAAAATCCAGAAGGGAGAATCAGACTGCAGAATCACTGCCAGCCCTCTGGAAGCACAACGACCTACTCCAGTTGTCTTTAACTCTGGTGAATAAAGACGGAACAGATGCAGGTACTCCCCACCCCAGGGGTGGCCTTTAACTCTGGGCTGATGATCTACACGTTTGATCTTCTCAAAGGGCTGGGCTCCCTGACGAGCAGGGAGTTGTTACTAACTCCTTGAAGAATCTTGCTATCTAAACTGGCCACTTCAAATATAAAGGCTATTTTGCAAAAAGCAGGATTTACACTTTCTCGCTCATAGTTTCAGCCAATGCTCCAGTTGTTCACCTGCACCACAGACGTTGCCCGAGGCGGCAGTGAGCCCTGTGCTTACTGGTCTGAGCCATGGCGTGGCCGTGAACTGAAATCCACCCCTGGGTGCCACAGCCCAGGGATCCAGCTGCCTCACCAGCAGCTCTCACACTCTGCACCGACTTGTCGTAGAAAGGGATGCAATATTAAACAAAAAGCTCAAGCTGTGTCTTAAGCTTAATTATTTCTTTCTCTTCCATGGACTTGTGTCTTCTCTCTCTCCCTACCCACTTTCTGTCCCCACTGGATGAACAATTTTGGGAATCAAAACCATCATGCAGAGGCCAAGCCAAGAAATTGTAAGAGTAGGCTTCACAGCTCCTCAGCTGATCAGCTAGTCAAGGAAGGCACCATGCCAAAATTAAGCTTTCCACTTTGCAGGCTATATATGATTCTGAGTGCTTCGCATTCTGCAAGTGTGTTCTTTAAAGCCTCTGAACTTCTCTAATCACAAGGAAAGCTGGCAGCCCAGCTAGAATCAGTGGGAGCTTTGCCTGAGTAAAAGGCAGATGATTGAACTCTGTATGTTGTATATTCCACACATCATCTGACAGGACCAATTTCAAAAAGAAAGTTCTGCCATATTAGCAGTGAGATCAAGGTTTACCTGCTACATGGAAAGAACCACCTTTGTTTTTATATTACTCATTACTTGGTATGTAAGAAAAAAGAATGTCACAGAAAAGGAAGAAAGTAATAGGACACATCATAAAGAATTACTCACCTATTGCACATTCAGGAACATCTCCATGCAATCTCAAAATTAGAAATATTGCAGAACTGCTTCACAAATGAGGACTTCTCTGAATAATAGTGATCTGTGAAGTCATTACAATATATGGTTCTCACATGGTTTATTTTTTTTGAGGGAGAGATATCAAAAGGGGAAAAAAAAAACAACCAACCAATCACAAACCCTCATATTTTAACATTTTTCTGTTAGCCGGTAAAACTCACTCCCAACTGCAAAGATCCAATCCCCTTCTGCCTACACAAATGCTACCAGGTAACTTCAAACATTTTTCACTGTTCCCATATTTAAGTGTCAGTCACAGAGATGCCTCTCTACTTGAAATGTATATGCTGCTCTGAAAAAAAGTTTTGGAAAACCTAATCATAACTGTACAAAATAGCATGCATAGGAGAACTCTGACATGGCACAAGGAACAGTCACTGCTAACAGTGTCCAAGCATCAACAACTGTTCCAAGTGTCTTCTTGCTAAAAGGCAGTATGAGATGCTTTATGAATTAGACACTGCACATTCATAACCACTAGGGGAAAACACATCTTTCCTCTCATCTTATAATACTTTTTATAGGTCTGAGCTCTTCAGCTTGTGGAATACGCACCACAGGAAGTGTAAAAGCAGTGTTTATCACTACCTAGAAAATGCTGAAGACAAAAGCACACCAGAAGAACAGAGTACTGAAATTATATTTTTAATGCATAGGCATTGTAAATCGCTTAACTTCATCAGAAATGAAATACATAGGAAAGTAAAAAATTGTGGTTACAGGTTATTTCTCTGCTGTACATACGTATATATTATGACCTTTAAATAGTAAAAAGCATTTGATTACAAAGACTGCTATACACCATTTTTATCACAAGGTGGTGCAAGTGACCTACAAGCACATTCACGTCTCAAAACTGTCAATATTTTGCTTTATGCCTTATTAGCTTGAGGGTGATTTTTTACATGCAAGAATAAACAGAAAATGGCAAAGCAACACATGTAACTCCCCTCACCTCTGATTCACAATCTGCTGCATTCCTTGACTCAGAATATCGATTCAGTCTAACTTGGAAGTTTTCTATTTTTTCCAACAGGCATTAGCTGTACACTTCTAAGAAAAGTTATACCTGGAAAATGGTTCTTGGCATGGCCAGGTCTGAAACACTTGTCTTTTACACAGAATAGGGTACACTGAGAAGTGGGTATCGTTGATGTGCTATTTAATTCCCTCAGAGTGGGCAACATGAGGACACTTTTCTCATCAAAAATAATGAATTCTACACCGTAGAAGCTCAGAATCTGTGTATAGAACACAGACAAAGCAATTTATTTTATATGCAGTAGATACGTAGTAAAATAATACCCACTAACATACTTCTTAAGTGCATTTGAATACACTTCCACGGCAGCTTAAAAGAAAATTGGGAACAGAACTTGGATGCAGCATTGTATTTTTGGCAGCCAGCTCAGAGGACCTTCAGTAGTATGCTTGTTCCTATCACTACTACTTACTCACTTCAGTGAATCTAGACAAAGCCTTAATATTGCACCCATACCTCTCTGCACCCGAGCACGTGGCTGCGAAGCAGTTCACTGTTCCCACACAATACCCACCTGCAGCAATGGAACTGAGCTTCCTTGTAACTACCTCTCAACTTCAGTATTTTGTGTTGCACATTTGGCATGGTACTTTGCCTTAATTTATGTATAAAGGAGTAGCACATTTGCACTACACTGATAAAAAGATGCCTGTATAGTTTTATATAAACATGTGAGTTAGAATGAAAACCAGAAAGAGCTTGGCTTAATATGAATCAAAATCTCTTCCTTAGCATTGCACTACTGAAACTATTTAGGACCCCTTCCAGCAAGGCAAATGGAGTGCAGAATAACAGACATTCATGACTGGTAATTAGTCAACTGTCTGCTAAACATTTGGTCAGTTTTGCAGGACGCATCAGACAATCTCAACACATGCATCTCTCATCCATCAATGCTAATGTGAATTCAGACTTCTGACAGGACTACACATGTATGGAAAAAGCAATCCAAAACCAAAAAAAAAAAACCATCCAGAGCACCTCGGCAAGGAAAAGTCACATACACTATGACCTGGTGCAAGCAATCTTGAGTGCCCATGTAGGCTACATTCAGTGTTAGTCCACTCTGTTCTTACACGTTACAGCTCGACTACCTAAAATCAGATCAGTTGGATGTCTAACTAAACCACTTCAAACGTGAAACTCCAAAATTAACGTTCAAGATTGGCATTTTGGAAGTGATAAATGAGACCTTTATATCCACTTATGTTACACACACTGACAGGATCAGAACTGATCCTCAGCATGCAATGTGCAACTGGGAGACAAGAAAGCTTCACCTGTCCACTAAGCAAACACAACATGATTTACACTCAGTGTAAATGGTGAAAACTCAAGCCAAGAAAATAAAGCAGAAACTGTTTCCCCTAGAGAAACACAGTATGATTGTAGGTTAGAACTTAGGGACTTTTTTTGCATCTTCTTAGTGGGAGGGAAGAGGGAAAATTGGGTTTTGCAGGCACTTTTCAATAGTGGGCTCACAAAAAAAGCACTGATTTAAAATATAAGAAAACCAACATAGGTAGCACTTTCAAGAACTGCCTTTGCTTGAAAATACACAGCTATAAATCAGACAAAACTTTTGAACTAAAAAGTGAATACCCACTTTACAAAAAGCCTTTTAAACATCAATAGTCATGACAGTTTTATGGGGGGGGGGGAAAAACAACAAAAAAAAAAAAAAAAAAAAATGGAAGCATTTAGTTATTCCCTGCAAAAATCTGGAGCTCCAGTTTCCCAGCACAGTACAGACTGAAACACACCCCACAGCCTCTACAGTAGCAGCCTCAAAGGCCAAAAGTATTCTTCTGAGATGTCAGGGCCTTGCTCTGACTCACCCTAGTTCTTCCTGTACCACCTTAAGAGAAGGCAGATCACAGAGGAATATAGACCAGAATGACCTGTTTGGCTCACGTTCACTCAGCCCCGAGGCTCAGGCACTGGCCCAAGGCACTGAAGTGGCAAGTGTGAGGCAGGCAGGCAGGGAGGGCCTTGCACGCCGTTCTGGCACTTGTCTGATTATGAAATTCCCCTGACCAAATTTCCCTACGGTAGCTTAGCAAACAGAGAAGCCTGACGTATTTCAGATTTGGGGAAGCACATACAAGCTCTTATCTACTTGGTGGGGTTCTACCCTATTTTTAATGTCAGATTGGTTTTATGGTCACTGAGAAACTGCCATCCTCAGGGCTGATGCCCACACAAGTAAGTGAAGCTTCCCACTGGCCATATTTACCCAACAGGCAGCTGCTCCACCTCCAGCCGTTCTCCCCCTTCCCTCTTCTTATTCAGCTTCTGTCTTTCCACTCTTACTTTTCAAAATGAAAGGCACCCATGTAAGCCCTATCTCTCAAATCAACATCAAATATTAACACAATTACAATTTTGGTCTTTAAAAGGCAGACTTGGCAAAGTGATTTGCAGGCAAAAGCTAACAGACATTACCACAGCGAGGTGTGTGTATGTGTGCATAGAGAAGTATCTCGAGAACCAGAGTCTGTAGATGCAGCATGTAAAGCAAAGCCTTGGCTCCCCTGCTCAGCCCATTCACTTCGCAGCAGGATTCCTAGGAGGTTGCAGTTTGTAGGTGCTGAAGTAGTTCACCACTTGCTGAGGGACTTCTGCCAGGACACACTGTGCCAGAGCTTCTTTTGGAGACTTATTAACAAACAAACAAACAAACACCAGGTTTCAGTTTCCACCAACACTAAAGTGAGATTCTAAGATGGGTAACAAGCATCTCCTCTACCAAGTCAATTTAAATCTGATATTTTACAAAGGACATTACACACTGCCCCTTGTGAGACAGGCAAAAGCTTCCTTGATTTCTTCATCTTCTCAATCCCACTACCAGGAACCAGCTGTCTGCCTTCTTCCACTGAAGTAGCAGAGGCTGGGTGTGTAAAGGGCTGCCATGTCTGAAGGTATCTTTTGTCATGTGAAATACCCACAGAGAGCAGACACCGAACTTCAGCCACGCAAACAACACACTTCCATTATTTGCTTTAGATGACCCTTCAAGGGGCTTGTCTAATCATCTGCAACCTTTTGAACCAAGTTTCATCCACAGTAACTATATTGCTACAGAGCAGCTAAAGATACTTTTTGTACCCTAAGGCCAAGTATCCCTGGGGAAAAAGGTGCCCCTTTTTCTAGAAACTGAAAGTATTTGAAGATAAAATTTTATACTGAATATTGACCCCAGTTAATCTACATCCAAATGCATTATTCAGTAAGCTTACTCTATATTGATTTCTCCCTCTCCTTCCAGCTTGCCTGAATGGCTCTGAGATTAAACAAAGAACTTATATCAAAAGTTAAAAAAAAAATAAATAAATACAAAGACAAAATAAGAAGGTATAAGGAGTATTATTAATGGAGTTAATATTAAGAAACAAAATTAGCACACCTTAGGATGGAAATAAAAATACTGCTTTTATCTTCCCCATCCTGATGAAATTTTGTTTTGTTTTTTTCTGGCACCAATTTTTTCCAGTGATTAGACATTTAAAAGTTGGAATGTATTAGCCTGTACATATTTTATTGGTTCTACAACAAAAAATGAGGACTTCATTCTTTCATCATCTATTTTTTTTTGGTGTATTTGCTTTACTGAAAATGAAAACTATCACCACTGTTGTGCCCACACACATTTTCTACTGATTGCAGACTCCCTGACTTATTCTTGAAGTTATGCACTGCACTAAAACGTGAGACTAATTCACACTTAGAAATGAGCACAATAAAAAACAGGCTACCATAAGAACACAAACCCACTAAGTTCTTCCTCCCAAGTGGAACACACATCCCTTTGGCTAACCAAGTCTGAAGGAACTTTACAAAGGTCATTCCCCTGCAGCAACTTTTCAGAAATGCAGTGCCAAAACCAGAAATAAAGTCTTTTTAACCCTGAATCAGCTCAACTAATGGAAATTCTACAGATGCTGAAGCCTTCTAGCTTTTCTTTTTAAGCATTTGATAAAAACTCAGCTCAGACTTCAGTTATTTTAGAGGCACTGCAAAAGCTCAGGACTATACATAGGATATCCTAGCAATAGCCAGCATGCCCTTACAATATTAAGCATACCATTAAGAACACTTACATTTTGGAACTTCCTGAATGGCACAAACTGCACAATGTCTCTGACAGCTGGTTCTCCCGACGAGGACCTAAGAACTCCATTGTCACCATCAAGAAATTCCATGGCATCGAAGTCTGCTCCTCCAACACCAACAATGATAATGGACATGGGCAGTTTTGAAGCATTAACAATGGCAGTTCGAGTTTGATCAAGGTCTGTTATCACACCATCCGTTATGATCAAAAGTATAAAGTATTGCTGTCAAATAAATAAGTTATGTTATGAGAAAGAAATAGACAATATGTAGGCATGTACACTTAGAAAAATGCAGATACAGACTACATACTGTTGCCACTTTGAGTATGGTCAGTGGATGTTCACTGAATTTTACCATCAAAAATCTAAGCTGGGGTCAGGCTTTGTCTGTACAGTCCAGAGAAATTTATAAGAATAACATAATCATTCCTTCCAAAGAAGTAATCTTTAAGCAGCCACCTCCCAAAAACCCAGTGGTATTACCTTTCTTCTCCTCTCCAAAATCCCTAGACAAAACAACAGTAATAATAGCTAACTTCCTTATTTTATGTGATGCCCGAGATACCAGTACTTGCTATCATCAACCATTTAGGATATCCTTAGCTTCAGAATTGCTGAACTTGCATAGATTATTATCCAAATTATTTGATACTCAAAACTTGTTTTTCAGATTTCCTGTTTCTTAATGTGTTCAACAACTCACACATACAAATTTTAACAGGGAGGACAGCACAGCACACACAGCACTTCCAGCTTTATTGTGCCTAAGTTAATTACCTCTGTTGGTACCTAGGTGTCAGGAGCTATAACCTCCATTTCTTCATTACCTTATTCAATTCTCTCTCAGTTATCTGATGTAAAAAAAGGTCTAGTTGATTTTCCTTAGCTAAGGCTAGATCACTCTCTTATATGCAAAGACTTAAATGAGACTAACACTTGTGTAGTGCTACAAGAGATTTGAATAGAAGATACCATAAAGATGCCATATATTTCTGAGTTTCCATTTCTGAAGAGTTTATTTCAATAATTTAGGAGACAACTGTTGTGTGCAATTAGAAAAAAATCAGTTAGCTTTTAAGGGTACCAAACACCAACCCATATGGTAAACAGCAAGCTGTCAAAACAAGTACACTTACAAGCATAGAAGACAAAAATAGTACTTACAAATGGGGAAAGAAAAAAGTAATATAAAGGACACACACTACTGTAAAAAACTTACTGATGCTGTTTGCTGTTGTGTAGCTTCAGCAGCAAATCTTGCCACATGATTTATAATTGGAGAAAAATTTGTTGGTCCATATAACTTCACTTGAGGAAGACAGGCCCGATATGCCTCAACAATGCCTTGGATTCCTAGAGAAAGCAAGCAGAGCATATTGATTTTTTCATATTAGGACTAGGATGTTTTGAAGCACTTGAACTTCCTAAAAGACTGTATATATCTGTTATTTAAAGCGATGTAAAGACTTAAAACTAACCAAGATTAAAAAAATAAATGATTCCTGAGCACTGGAGGCTTTCAGCTCGGCTCACGCTCACCGCATTTGGCGTTCTGCGGCTGGAAAGCCCAACTGCTGCAGGCTCACACATGGGGAACTGAGTCACAGCAGCCCTCGTCGCCCGGCAGCCTGTGGAGTTAGCCCTGCGACCAGAGAGGCCACGCTGACAAGCACCAGCAGCAGGAAACTCAAACCAGACAGCTCCACAGCAGCAGTGGAGTGATGGGGCTTCACAACAGGAGGGAACCGTCCCCGGCTCAGCTGCGCTGTGCCCATTACCTCACCAGAATAACACCCTCCAGTTCACCTGTCTGGGGTTTCTGTACCTTCACCTTACACATCCCACCCTCTAGCTCCGACTTCACTTTCTCAGACTTACCGTTACAGAATGGGTTTGACGGGTTAAAGTTTATTGGGAACTCATGTGACACCTGTCAATGGACAAAAGACACAGTCAGGACTGTTATGTACAATCTCCTCCATAAATGCTTTTGGTTGTTTTATGTAGTGCATTTACATCTTCCATTACCTGAAAGGAAGGAGGAATCTGTGCACCAAATCCAAAGGCTGGAAACATCTTATCTCTAAAAAAGCAATTTTGAAGAAAACAAAGTGACTGCCTTCCTTCAAAGCGGTCATAGTTCAGTAAGTTTAGTTAATCAGTGCTCTTTCCATCAAGGAAAGTGCTGCTTACTAAGCATTAAGAGGCAAAATTAAATGGAAGTTCCCTCTTGTAATTGTCTCTAGGACCAAAACCAGTCTTTAACAGCAAACTGGCAAAAATGCAATCATTTATTTAAATTAATGCTGCTCTTTACATGTCAGATGAAAAGCCTTACTTGTCTGCTGTAAAAAAAAGCCTCTACTTGTGATTATGTGATTGTGCAGAGATTTCTATGGACTTTTTTTTTTAGCTTTACGTTTTAGCTCAGAAGTTTCATTCCAATATATCTGCTGACATCTTCAACACTGATTAAGGAACTACCACAAAAATCTAAGCACACCTAAAAAATCATTTAAATAAAAATCCAAAACTTACGTGTCATAGTCCTGAATGACCATCCCCACAGACCAAATGGCTGTCAGGTATTCGTTAACTCCATTAGGGCTAAGGTAATGCAGAGAGTCTGGAGAGCGAGGGTCGCCGTTGGAGCCTGTAAAATCTATCCCCACCTGTCAAATGCAGCAGTTAAATCAAATTGCTGTTTTCTTACCTCCAGCAAAGCCAAAGTGAAAATCATGAAAGAGTTGTAAACAGCAGTTACCAGGACTTCTACAAACTTAACAGGCATAATACTTAGATGCAGATTTCTTAGAATAGCAACACTCTCAAAACAATGCCACTACAAAACCAGCTGGAGCTCTGCACCTCTCAGAATGGTTGAAGTGACGAGTTCTGTCAGGTTTTCTCTGGGTTTACTTTCAGCTACCACTCACAGAAGCTCTTCAATAGCTGTTAGATTAATTTCTTGCCATACACACCTTTCCCCTCAGAGATAAGACTGGCCAGACACCACAGATGCCTAGAGATAGCTCTTTTTCTCACCTCAGTGCATCTCTCTGCTTTGGTGATGAGGTGTATCACCAGGATGAAGACACCTTACTGCTGTTTATGCTGCATTTGGTTCGCAAATTACATAACTTAAGGGTTCTAACCCACATCATAGCTTCTTACGTTGCTTTCATTAAGCAAAGGGCATCGAAAACCACCATCAGGGGCAAAATCCTTGGTCAGAGAAAGAAGAAAAAACAAACAAAACAATCTTCATCAACTATATAGGCATTGAGTGCACCCTCAGCGAGTTTTCAGATGACACTAAGCCGAGTGGTGTAGCTGATATGCCAAGGGATGGGATGTCATCCAGAAAGACCTGGACAAGCTTGAGAAGTGAGCCCATGTGAAAATCAGGAAGTTCAACAAGGCCAAGTGCAAGGCCCTGCACCTGGGCCGGGGCAATCCTTGTTATCAATGCAGGCTGGGGGATGGTGGGAGAGAGCAGCCCTGCAGGAAAGGCCTTGGGGATACTGGTGGGTGAGAAGCTGGACATGAGCCACCAATGCACGCTTGCCAGAAGGCAAATCACATACTGGGCTGCCTGAAAAGAACTGTGGCCAGCAGATCAAGAGAGATGATTCTGCCCCACCACTCTGCTCTGCTGAGACCTCACCTGGAGTCCTGTGTTCAGTTGTGGGGCCCTCAACACAGGAGGGACATGGACCTGTTGGAACAGGTAAGGAGGAGGGCCACAAAAGTCATCAGAGGGCTGGAGCACCTCTCCTATAAGGACAGGCTGAGAGGGTTAGGGTTGTTCAGCCTGGAGAAGAGAAGGCTCCAGGGACACCTTAAGGAGGCACTACCTGATCTTCCAGTACCTGAAGGAGGCCTACAGGAAAGCTAGGGAAGGTCTGGTTACAAGGGCACGTAGCGACAGGACGAGTGACAATGGTTTTAAACTAGAGCAGACTAAGCTTAGA